TGTCTTCCCCGGGAGAGCTGGGGACAGCGTGGCCATTCACTGCTGGCTTGCTCTCCATCCTCCCGCTGCAGGCCTTCCACAGGACTCTGGAGAGAGGGGGGAGAGTGGGAAACAGTCAGTGAGAAATCAACTTTCTTTGTGCTTTGCATGTCAAATACAGGGAAATCAGAAGGATAAACACACACCCCCCAGGCAGGGGGAAGCGACAGCCAAAGGCTGAGCACGTCTGAACCTGACGTGCCGTCCCAAGGGGTCTGGCCAAGCTCAAAGGGTTGGTGGAGGAGAAGCTCCACGTGCCCCAGCCGTGTGCACTGGCACCCAGAAACCCCCTTTTCCTGGGCTGATCCCACAGTGTGGGCAGCAGGGGAGGGGGGGATTCTGCCCCTCTGCCCCACTGAGATGAGACCCCACCTGCAGAGCTGCCTCCAGCCCTGGGGCCCCAACATGAGAAGGGTGTGGAGCTGCTGGAGAGAGGCCAGAGGAGGCCCCGGAGCTGCTGCCAGGGCTGGAGCCCCTCTGCTCCAGAGCCAGGCTGGGAGAGCTGGGGGGTTCACCTGGAGAGGAGAAGGCCCCAGGGAGACCTGAGAGCCCCTGGCAGGGCCTAAAGGGGCTCCAGGAGAGCTGGAGAGGGACTGGGGACAAGGGATAGAGGGACAGGACACAAGGAGGGCAGGGATAGATGGGATATTGGGAAGGAATTCTTCCCTGTGAGGGTGGGGAGGCCCTGGCACAGGAGAATCTGTGGCTTCCCCATCCCTGGAAGTGTCCAAGGCCAGGTTGGATGGGACTTGGAGCAACCTGGTCCAGTGGAAGGTGTCCCTGCCCATGACAGGATGGGACTGGATGGGCTTTAAGGTCCCTTCCCACCCAAACCATTCCATGATTCAGTGATTCCAGGAGTCCTGACATGCAGGTCCATGTGCTCCCACCGTGGCTGCCCCACGAACCCCCCTCTCCTTCTGCTGTCCCTCCTTCCCACACTCCCCAGGCCATGCAGGGAGGGCAGAGGCTCCACCTCAGTGAGCAGCAGACACCAGGCAAAGAGTCTCCGGGGCTGCCTCAGGGTGAGGCAACATCTAATCCAAACCTGCCCCCCCGTTTGCAAAGCCCCGGGACACGCTGGGATCTGCCCCGGTGCAATGAGGGTGCTGCAGGGAGCGGAGGCCGTGGGGCTGGGCTGTGGTGCTGAGCTGTGGTGCTGAGCTGTGGTGCTGGGCTGTGGTGCTGGGCTGTGGTGCTGGGTCATGGTGCTGGGCTGTGGTGCTGGGTTGTGGTGCTGGGCCGTGGTGCTGGGTCGTGGTGCTGGGCTTGGTGCTG